CGGCCCGCCGGGGCTCTCCGGTGCCGGTACGGGGCCCCGGAGGGCGCAGTGAGTTTCTTGGAGCCAGCTCTGCCCTGCGCTCCATTACCGGTGACTCCGACAGCGGGGGCTGTGCGGGGATTCGGACCCGGTGGGGCCCTGTCCGGCCACCGGCTCTGGGGGTGGGCTCCTCACCGATGCTGTTTTGCCGGCGCTGCGAAGCTACTCGCCTTTCTGGGAGGTAAAGCACTGCTGGAGAGATCCCAGATTCTGCAGCCAAGGATCCTCCTTTACTCTGGAAGGGGCCATGGGTCCCAACTGCTGCTGCCTTCAGCACAAGCTGTGAGCTCAAGCAAAGCCTTGACCAGGACACGATCGGATGTGGGCTTTAATTTTCCTCTGCTTCCTCTCTCTCTGCTGTAGCTCCTCCAGCCAGGATGGGTTTGCCTGTGGGCCAGCACCAGGCTGGAGTAGAGCAGTGGCACTGAGAGCCAGCTGCCTCGGGGGGCAGCTTGAGGGGCACAGGATGAGCACTGATCAGATGGCCCCATCACCACAAGTAGAGGCTCAGTGGTCCAGAGGAGAGTGTGAGTCCAGTCCCATTCTGGAGTCATGAGTTCATCCATGCCATGGGTCCCAAGGCAGGGAAGCAGGAGTCTCTTGCTCATCAGCCACCCCTTTTGCTGCAGGGAGAGGCCTGGGGGTCTGTTCAGTGTGTGGGTACCCTTTGTCTGGAAGAGCTCATTTGTGCTGGGACACGCACACCCCAGCAAAGGGCCTGCACAGGTGGGATGAATCCCTTGGGGAAACAATCCTGGCACTGGATGAGGCTGAGGTTTGGACTGTTAGCAGAGCTGACCTTCAAAATGCCAATGGCAGTGGGGCAGTGGGATCCACCGAGTGAACAAACAGGAATAGGCCCATGCTTGGGTGGAATTAAAAACTCTCCTGCTCATCTTGGCTGGGAAGGAAGTGCTGCAGATGCTGAAGGAATGAGCAAGAAGCTGGAAATAATAAATCCTTGTAGAGAAGAGGATGAAGGAGCACGCCTGGGGGAAGAAGTCTTTTGTGTTTCTCTGTGCTGCCAGGCCCTCTTTGCCTGGTCAGAGGGCACATGTTTTATGCTGCCCTCATGAGCACATCTTTGGGGCTGGACCACTGTGACTATCCTCGATTAAGAGCTAAAATGAAGTGTGCAGAAGGAATTGGCTCAACCTGGAGCTCTGGGGCTGGGCCAGGCTCTGCTGTGGTGGGGTTTCCCTTTGGGGAGGAGCACTGCAGCCTTGGAGGCAGCCTGAGAGGTGTGGGAGATTATGCACGAGGATCCCACCAGTGCAGCTTCAAGGGGCCATCCAACTCTGCTGCTGTGGGAGCTCCAACTTCCCAGCTTTGCCTCTAATGGAGCATCCTCAGCGCTGCAGAGGGAGCAGGAACCGAGCCAGGCTGCTGGCCTGCCACTGATGATTGCGATGCAGCTCAGTGAGGAGGCTGCCGCTCTTGTGGGTCTGTATTCAGGGCATGGCAGCATCTCACTCGCCAGTCTCCCCAAATACCCTCAGGCTTGTGCCCAGGATGGGCAGAAACAGAGGATTCTGGAGGTCCTGGGCCCAAATCTCACAGTCCATACGTGGCTGAGCATTTCCTCGCCTGACCAGTATGCAGGATCCAATGCTCAGCTGTTTTTTCAGGAGATGAGAGGGAGAAAGGAGATGCCTCCTGCCTATCCTGCCCTTCTGTTTTGTCCTCTTTCTGGCTGCCGAAGACTGAACCATATTAGAGACAGCAGGGAGCTGTTCCTGGAGTGTGTCTGTGCTGGAGAACCTCAGTGAAGCTCCCATGTGGATGATGGCCCATGCCCACATGTGCCTACAGGGAGGAGAGCACCTGGACTCACACAGAGGAACCATCATCCCCTGATATATTGTTTGCAACTGAGATTGATAATCTGAGAGATTGGGGAATTTGGCAGCTCCTTCATGTCCCAGCTCAGACCCAAAAGGTAAAAGCAGCTAAAAAATGTTAGTGATAAAGTCCACAAAATTCCAAACAGCACATAACTGAATGGAGAATACTGGGATTCTCAGTCAAAATTAAGTGTTTTGACATGCCAGAACATCACTCTTCATTTCACTGACATTCCAGGCTGAAAAATCTCAAGTCAGACCAAACATTTGTAGTTGTAATCTCACGACACTGAAGGTTGATAACTGTCAAAACAGCAATTTCTGTGGACCTGTGTTTTCTGATGGGACTTTGGGCACGAGTGGACGCTCTGAGTGCCTCTGCCAGCTCCTTGTCCTCGTGCTGCCCTGAACCACGTGTGCTCTCCTGGCCACCACTGTGGCTCCTGCCCAGCTCAGTGGTTTCCCTTTGGAGTGTGGCATGAACAGTGTGGATTGCATTATTGATAACGCTGTAATTTATTTATGCTTCCTTGGCTGTAGCAAACAGCTCAGCCTTTTTGAGCTAAGTATACTTTGCACTGGGAGTGAGTTGTTGTTCTCTGTGGGATGGATTGGCCAGTGGAGTACTTGGTGTTTGGTCTAGCTGAGAGGTTTAGGGATGTCTCCTGGAAACTTCAGGTGGGTTCACCCTGGAGGGTTCCGTGGGCAGGAGCTGGGGATGGGCTCCTCCAGAGGGACTCTGGTGTGTGCTGTGGGGCTCAGGCCTGGTGCCTGTGAGCTGGGCTGTGCTCCCTGCATGAAGTGGAGCTGGAGCAGCAGCCAGGAAACCAGCATCTCCTGATGGGGACCTGGCTTCTCTGCTGGAAGGCACGTGGGAGGTTTGTTGGCACTGGGGACTCACTGTCACAAAACTTGCATTGGCACTGTGTCTCCTGTCCTCACATCTGGGCTGCAAGGCTGCTGCATGCTTGTCCAGCTGGGACACAGCTCCTGCGTGGGCACATCCCCAGGCCTGGCTGCATGCAGTGCTGGGGCACACACTGCCTCTGGATTCGGGTGCAGGACCGAGCAGCTCGGAGAGAGCTGTTTGCTTTGTCATTGAGCAAACAGTGCATGCTTCAAGCTGACAGCAGTATTTATACAGTGGGCAGGCGCATCTCCAGAGGGACTCCAACAGTACCAGCTGTTGAATGATTCCCCTCTGAGAAGCCTCATGCAGAGCATATTCTGCCAGAGCACCAGAGATCACCTAAACACGGGCTTACAGGAGCGAGTCCCACAGTCCCATCACATCACCTCGAGGAGCGATGGTTTTCCTGCACATTGAGCCGTACTGGATTCTTTCTGACAACGGAGGGGCTGGAGCAGGAGCAGCCCCTCATCACCCAGCGGGCAGCAATGGAGTCAGGACAGCAGGTAGGATCCTGCCAGCCGCTCTTCAGTCTGTTCCTGGCCAAGCTGACCATCCTACAGCATTAACTAGAAGCATTTCCTTACCTCTAAATTCTTTTTTAGCATAAAATATGTGGTTTCATCAAGATACTTTTGAGTTTTTTTCCTGGGCAAATGTCAATGCTTTTGATGACATTTTCTGATTTTTGTTTTCCAGATGGGAGAATCAAAGTGCAAAATACCACTTTAAATCACCACTTCGGAATGAAACATTTTTCATTTTGAAATGTCAGTTTAAAACAGGACAATTCATTTTTAAATGCTTCAAAACAAGAAATGTCCTTTTTACCACTTCAAATCACTTTGTTTTGATTAAGAATGTCAGCATGTTGTGTCCTGGCTCTTCATTAGAGGAGTCTGTTTCACTGTCTCATGGTCCAGAGCAGACAGAAATTTCAAACATGGTTGAAAATTGAAGATTTCTTCTCTGAGAAATGTGGGTTTGTCCAGTGCACTGCTGGAACTCTGCACTGCCCATGGAGGGGACTGTGAATGCAAGGTTGGCACAGGGCAGTGGTACCCCTGGCAGCACTCCCCATCCTCGGTGTCATCACCACTTGCCTTTGGTATCTTGTTAGTAAGTTATGATCAATCCAGCACTAAAATTTTATGTGGGACATGGTTGTTTGCTGGACCTGGTTAGAGCCCAGCAGGTGATAATGGAGGCTGGGAGGTCACCACGTCACTTGGCAAATGCCAAGCAGTCACGTCACTGTTGGTGCCACTGCCCGCGGAGCGCTGGAGCTGTTCCTGTCTGAAGGGCTGTGGCTGTAAATAGTGAAGAAAACATACTTAAAGGACTCAGCAGTAAAATACAAAACCTTTTGGAATTTTTTCCCTAGTGGCTCTAGATGATGTAAAACTTGGCTTCTTCCCAGCGTGTGCTGCATGGAGTGGGAGTGGTGCCAGTGTGGTGCCAAGAGAGGTTGTTGGCGTGTCCAGAGGTCGCCGATGCAGTTTTGAGTGTGTGGTTGCATGAACTTGGTTTCTGTGCTGGCAGGAGGAACAGCCCCAGGAGAACAATAACACGCTGGGAGAGCGGCCTGCGGCTCCTGGTGCTGCCATGGGCTCTGTGTATCCGACTGGCAATCGGTTGCCCTGTTCCTCAGCTTCCTGGGGGGCCCCAGCACATCCAGCCCATCCTTCTGTTTGTCAGCAAGTGGTTTGAAAATTCCAAGCCTTGGCATCGCTGCAAGGGACCTCAGTGACACAAGGGCAAGAACAGCACATAAAACAGCACAGAAAAGGCAGAACCCAAAATGACTCGCTGCTGATCTGCTATGGCTCTTCCCACACACACTGGGTGTGCATTGAGTGTGTGTCATCTGCTTTAATAACCTACTATAAAGGACCTGATTTTGTGCTCTCAGCAGTAAAAATCAGGAGCAGCTCTCAGGTCCTGCTGTTCAAAGGGGTGCAGGGTTATGGGCTGAGCTCCTGGAGAAGTTTCAGCGGTGCAATGGGCACGTGCTCATGCATACGTGTCTCAGAGTGTGTGTCCTGAGTGTGAAGTGGGGCTGGTGAAATTCCCAGGTGTCCCCAGCCACTCCCAGGGACACAGTGACTCACACTGAATGGCAGGTATCACTGCCCATGTCCTTCTTTCTCCTTCAGATGTGCTGATGTCTGCTCCTTGCAAAGACCTGACCCACCTGAGGCTGGCAGATGCACAGATGTGAGCGTGAATCCCCAGTAAAAGGTAACCATCACTCACCTGTACAACTGCTGGTGGGATCTCTTTCTGTCCTGCTGCAATGGCCCATGCTGCTGATGAAGTCTGAGGTCATCTGAGGGTGGTGGGTGAATCCCTTCATCTCCCAGGGCCATGTCCCCACAGCCAGGATACCCCAGTCCTCACAACATTCAGGAGTCATACCACTGCATGCAGGAACATTGGTGAGTGGATCTGCACCTCCCAGCCCTCCTCAGTCCCTCTTCCTCCACATATCTCTTCTTCTTTTCAGTAGAATGAGTGAGAGAGACATACAGAACCTGAGCAAATGGGTTTTCGTGCTCAGTCTCTGCCTTACCACGCTGTGGGGACGACTGACGCTGGCCTCCACGCATCACCACAGAAGCCATTCAGGTAGGGGAGCAAGATCCTCGCTGCTTGTGTCACATGCTTGTGCAATCATCTGTGTCCCCATGATAATGGCAGTACTTTGGGATCATCATGGAATGCCTGCAGTGGGGGATACATGGGGATGAGATGCTTGGTGAAGTTCTGTCTCGCATTTCTTGGTGAGGGGAGGAGGAGTTTCAGGCTGTGGTGCACACCAGGAGCAGACAGGTGTCTCTCTGGGGACAAAATGCTGACAGCCTGAAGCAGCTCAGTGTCCATCGCTGTTCCTGGGGTCTGGGCAAGCCAGGATGAGTGTGCCAGACGTGTGGTGGTACTGGTGTTACTGAAGTTACTGGCAGAGCTGTGCACCTGGCAGCACAGACAAACACCTGGATCCCGGGGCACCTGCTCTCTGCTTCGTGTGCCTCTGCTTGGTAAGGGCATTTATGGGTTAATTTGAAACCGTTCATGCTCTTGATTGACCCCACACCTAACCCTGTCCTACTTCTGTCATTTTTGCCTGACAGTTAAAGCAGTTCTAATCCTGTAATCCCTACCCACATCACTTAAAACCAAAACACATCTTCTGGAGCGACTCTCTCACCCAATCAGTCCACAGCCACCTGCCTTTCCCTTGTCCTGACCCTGGCTGCCCCATCCTTGCAAGTGTCCAAGCCCAGGCCGGACAGGACTTTGGGCAACCTGCTCTAGTGGAAGGTGGCCCTGGGAGTGTCAGGGAGTGGAGCAAGATGAGCTTTAAGCTTCTTTCCAACCTAAACAATTCTGTGATTCTAATTGGGAGAAAACTGTTCTTATTTTTCTTTTATTTCTTTTTTTTCTGGGATGACTTTTTGACACTGAATCAGTTCTACAAAGGATATGGGCACTACTGGCAGTTTATGTGCTCGGTCAACCTGCCCAACCCCAGTGCCAGAGAGCCCTGCTCCTCCATGGGATCAGTTTGCAGGGAGCTGTTTCTCTGGGGAAGAGTCACAGCGGGGATTAACAAAGCAGATGAGGTTTGAAGTGCAGATGCCCAGGTGTACTGATGGGTGTGAATTACCTATAAATCTCACTCATCCATGAGCAGCCAGGCTCTTGCATTCATGTGCCAGCAGACACAGAGTCAGGGATGTTTTGCTCTCAAAGACTTACCCAGACCAGACAAAACTGTATGATTTTTATTCAGGAAAATTTGATCCACACAAAAGAGGGCAGACCAGGAGCAAACACGTGGAAGTTTGACCCTGTTCCGTGTCTGTATGAACACAGTTTCTCTCTGCCCATCCTGCTTTCCTGACATTGTAAGAACTTCCTGTGACTGTCTCATCTCTTGGGCTGCGTTTCCATGGTCTCAAAACAGGAATTCTTTGTCTACTTACTGAGTTCATGGGCTTTATTCAACTGTTGTCTGCCCTCTTGTTGCTGCATTTGGGACAGTTTTCAGTGAAGGTTATGTTTGAAACATAATGCTGCATAGTAATGTTGCTTTCATAATGCTGCATTCTCAGTGGCATGACATTTGTGTCCAAGGAAGCTGCAGTTATGTTCCTGTGTGGAGTTGAAGAGGGATAACTGTGTCACTGATGCCTGAGACCCTCAGAGTCAGAGATGCTGAGAGACAGATATATCCAGAGCTTTCATTCCATTAAAGAATTGTGTTTATTCACAGGCAAAACCACCTAAAAATGATCAATAGCAGAGGAAGGTCTTTAATTGTGACCTTGAACTTACAAATTTCTTGAAGAGAGAGTCCACATGCAAACCCTCTGCTGTCCAGGGACACATCTGACTGTTGCAACCAGGTCTGATAATAGAATTATAGAGTACCTCGAGTTGGAAGAGATCCACAAGGATCATGAAGTCCAGCTCCTGGCTCTGCACACAGATCATACCATGTGCCTGAGATCTCTTGTGCCCACCCAGCACATGGAGATGCTGCTCTCTCCAGGCAAAGCGCTGCTTCCTGCAGAATGTGTCTGGATTTAAAGAGCCACATGAATCAAGCGCAGTCATTTGGAAACAGAGTAGGAGACTCCTCAGTGAAGAATGAATCACCAGCAGTTTAATCCCCTATGTAACATGGTGAGGTCTTCATGACGAAAAAGGCTGGAATGTCTGGATCTAACTCCCACAAAGGTGGCCCCAGCACCTTCTAATGCTGATAATCAAAGGGCTGTCTTTGCCTTTATGTTCATCACTCAACCTGAAGCAGAAGTAAAAGGCATTTAAGTCAGGTGGGATTTTTTCTTTTGGGAAATGAGGTTCTCTGGGCATTGCCTGGAACTCACATGCATCAAACTTCTCTTCATCTTGTAGCTCTCCACCAGCAAGCAGTATTTTACACTGAACATGTGGAGTGGTGCCCACACTCCTTGAGACACTCAAAATGTGCCATTTCAGGTTATGCTATAAAAACCCCATGTTCTGTTGCTCATTTAAAGTTCAACCAGAGTAGGACAGCATTTTTATTTTATTTTTGCATGCCGGGTTCAAAAGCCTTTTGCCCTTTCAATTCTTTTATGGTTCCATGAGATAAGCTGTGTCTTTTTAAAAAAGGCTCCAGTGGGGAAATACCAGTTAAATGGGAGGGAGAAGCATGCCAGGGCTTTGGAATTTATCCCAGGCTCTCGGGAGGTTTCCTGCTGTCGGTGTTAAACACACCATCCATCTGATATGCATTTTGTTCCAAGCTTCCTGCTGCTCAGCAGAAGGAGAAGCAGCTGCAGGGAGCTCTGGAGCCCGCAGCTCGCACTGCACGTGGGCTCAGCCTCTCTGCTCACACTTGCCAGGTGTGGGATGTGGGAGCCCCGTGAGGCAGGGACCTCCCAGCACCGCTCTGCTGCTGGTGTCCCATGGCACGGGGATGCTCGTCTCCTCTGCAGCGAGGAGGCAGCAGTGTCTCCTGCTGACATCCTGGGAATCACCATGTCTGAGGCAGAGGGATTCCTTGGCTCTCAGTTACAGCCCCCACACTCCTGTGCTCACATGAACACATGTTGGGGTCTGGCATGGTTCATGTTGCCTGTGGGCCAGAGGTGGGAATACAGGTGAATCTGGTGTGTAGGAGCTGAGGTGCTTTATGCCAGCTGGGGTAGCCTTACCTGGCTCCTCGTGGGCATGTCACCTCTGCTCAAATGCCATGGCCTGGGAAGGGGACGCACTGTGTCCTGCTGCCAGGGCCGGGCTGGCATCGGGAGGGGGCAATTTCCAGTGGCACTGTGTCCTAGGGCAGGGTGTCAGATGGTCACAAGACAATGCAATGGTGAATGGTTTTAAACTGGAAGGAGACAGGTTTTGACCAGATGTTCAGTAGAAATTCCTCCTGTGACAGTGATGACCTGGCTTGAACACACTCCTGGAAGTGTTCAAGGCCAGGCTGGATGGGGCTTGCAGTAACCTAGTCCAGTGGAAGGTGTCCCTGCCCATGTCAGGGCACAGAATAAGATGATTTTTAAGGTCCTTTCCAACCCAAGCCAGTCACTGATTCTACAGTTCTAAGACATTTAGGCAAATGTAAGTATTTTGTGGCCTGAGAGTGGGATGGGTCCTGGAGCTGTGTGCTGCTCCTTCAGCTCTGCCATCAGGAGGGCCCTTGCTGTGTGTGCTCCAAGGGGGCTGTGTGGCTGTGCCAGGGGCTGTGTGGCTGTGCCAGGGGCTGTGTGGCTGTGCCAGGGGCTGTGCCAGGGGCTGTGTGGCTGTGCCAAGGGCTGTGCCAGGGGCTGTGTGGCTGTGCCAAGGGCTGTGCCAGGGGCTGTGTGGCTGTGCCAGGGGCTGTGTGGCTGTGCCAGGGGCTGTGCCAGGGCAATGGGGACCTGCCCACACAGGCAGCTCTTCCTGGGCAGGGGCTCTGAGGCTGCAGGTCCAGCACCACAGTGCCCCACACTCAGCTAGTAAGGCAGAGGGAGTAAAATCGCTCTTTATCTCTGGGCTGCACCTTTCTGGGCAAATTAAAAGGGCTTTGACACGTTAGCAAACTGCTATTGCATGGTTGTAATGACCGATTTCTCAGTTCTGCCTGGCTCTCCCTCAGCTGAACCTTTTAAAATTAGCTGAAAATGAGCAGCTGGAGAGCAGGAATGCAAGGGAGTGCAGGGGTTGCCTGGGCAGCCCTCCCGGGAAAAGCTCTGCTAATGAAGCTTTTCTGAAAATGAGAACATGGAAGCTTGAGGGTGAAAAATTCCCTGCTGAGGTGCACAGCCTGGAAGAGTGACTCCTTGTGGTCCTGGACCACGGTGTGATAGGAATGTGGGCTCATAGGCAGCCAAAGCCAAGGATCTCTACTTCTTCCTGAGATTATTTGAAAAATCCCATGGAGCTTAAAGAAGGGGCAAAACAGTCATGTTTGTTCTGCAAAGAGCTGCTTTCCTTCTCACTTTCACCGAACTCTACCATTTCTGTATACAAAAAGAATGGAATTCATTATTAAAACTGCATTACTATGGCATTTTAAAGGGTAGATAAAATCTGTGGCCAGAGACGCTATTACAAAATATTCCATATAATAATTGTGTAATTATTATGGACAGAAATGAAAATAAGTGTCCATTAAAAGAAAATGACCATGAAATAGCAATAAATAAGGGTCAGCTGCCCTGGTCCCCCTGACTTTGGGCACTGGTGGTGGATGGGATCTGCAGAGGACGCTCCAGCAGTGACCAGGAGTGAGGCAGAGCTGGGAGCTGTGACAGGATGGGCAGGATGAGGCAAATGCAAAGTGGGTCAGAGCAACTGCTGAGCCTCATGTGCTGGGAGAGGACTGAGTGTGGGCTTATGCTCAGAGGTGCAGCAGCACACATCATTCCACACAGCCCTGCATGTCCTGCTTGCACCTCCTTCCAAACCTTTCCTCTGGAGGCAGCTCCTGGGGGCTCCTGCCTACACTCCAGGATGTGGAAGGTGTCCTGAGCCAAGCATATGGAACAACCAGGAATGCCCTGATGCCTGCTTACCTGCGTACATTTTGGGGTGCCACATTGGAATGCAGCTTCCCTGTCCTCTACCCAGCTTGGCTCCTTTTTGCCAGGGAATAGAAGCCTGTTCCCAGTGACCCAAGCTACCCAGGGCATGCCCATGTGTGGCTCTGCACTGCTCCTCCACTGCTCATTAAGCAGGACCTGCAGGGATCTCTGGGGTCATGGAATGAAGTCTTTCAGCCCTTTTTGGCTGATATTGTGCTTGTGTGGGCCATTACCCAGCCAAAGCAGTGATCTGAGATGCTGACCAGCTCTAAACTCTGATCCCAGAGGTGATCAGCCAACACAGTAGTTTTCTACTTTCCTTAATATTTTAATGGCACTGGGAGGGGGAGCAGCAGAGCGGCTTGGATTGCTGATGAACACTCTGACATTTTTCTGCCACTGCAGGGTGGAAACAGCATCCTGATCCTTCCTTCTCCAGGCAGAGGGTGGGTGATGGCGAGGTGGAGGCATTGATTGTAGCTGGGGTCAGAGGTGATGGTGCTCTGCTTGAAGCCAAAAGCAGCACAATGCACCATCCCATCTTGTAGCAAAGTGGGTTTAATGCAAAGCTGCATTATCATCTGCAATTAACTGGTGTGCTCATTAGTTTCAGTAAACCTCTTGGCTGGCCGTGGCAAGAGGGGATGAATTTTGGGGGGTAAGATGGGCATGAGGGCTCTTAGGAGCAAGAGCTCAGATGCAAGAGGTGTGGAGCAGGAGCCACCACTTTTCTGTACAGGTGGGCTGGGAAGATGCTGTGCCCAGACACCTGTATGTCACCAGCAGCCCTGGGGGTGATTCCAGAGGTTGGGACAGCACCGCACGTGCCGGGCTCTCCTGGGGCCTTGGCCATCGCTCACCCCAGCAGTGTTGCCCAGGGCAGTGGCAGGAGGTGGTCTAGGGTCTCTTGTCAAGGCAGTGGGCAGCAGATGGCCTGAGGTCTCTGGGGTCTGATGGCGGCTGTTTCTCCTCCTGCAGTGCATGTAGAGCCCGGCACATGCGAAGTCATTGCAGCTCACCGGTGCTGCAACAAGAACAAGATCGAGGAGCGCTCGCAGACGGTGAAATGCTCCTGTTTCCCAGGGCAGGTGGCAGGGACAACGCGGGCAGCTCCCTCCTGTGTGGACGGTGAGTATCCATCCTTTTCAATCCCTGACCTCATCTTCACATCCAGTTAAACTGGTGTGGGGTTTCCATGTCCCTGGCATTAACACAGGAGGATTAAGGCATTAACCTGCCCAGGGATCCTGCAGCAGAGCGGTGAGGAAGGCGGCACATTTTGGGGGCACTCTCACTGGACACTCACGCAGTGGTGTGGCTGTGATACTCTGTGCAGCCCTGGGCCACGAGCTGCGGGGGAGTTACTGAGGTTTCAGCACCACTGTGCTGGGCTCAGGTGTGCAGCACCGATCCCTGCACACCTCCTCACCCTGCTGCCACAGCTGGAGGTGGGGATGTGATTCCAGCCATGCAGCACCTTTGCCTGTGAGGAGCACCAAGCAAAACTCAAACTCTGGATGTTTTATTGAATGCCATCACGTGCCATGACCAAAGAGCCATTGGGAGCACCGCCAGCCCCCACCAGCATGGTATTGATTTGCTTGACAGCCAGTGCCCTGCGACTGCAGTTCTGTGCAACACCAAGTAATTCCAGAATGAATTGTTAGGGAAGGCTCTTGCTGTCCCCAGCAGCTTAGGTCATATTGTTCCCAAATAAAAGAGCCTATTCTGGTTGCCCAGACTAGAGGCATGAATCACAAGACCCTAATAGAGCAGAGTGGTAGAAGACAATCCCTTCGCTCTGTTAGTGAAGCCTGAAACAGGTTATTGAGCAGCACTGCTCTCCTTGCTCTTGCTGGGAGAGAGGACATTGGGCTTTTTTTTCCTGGGGTAGTGAGAGAAAACAAGGTGTTCTGGAGGCAGGTGGAGCAGTTGGGTCAGGTGAGGCCAGGCAGGTGACAAGCAGCTCCTTGTGCAGGGCTCCTCAGCGTGAGCTGTGCTGGAGAGAGGGGCTGTATCTCCTGATGTCACTCAAAGGTGAGCAGAACTGGTCCTCCAGGCTGTGCTGCAGCCTGGCCGCTGATCCCCTCCTCTCCCCCAGCCTCCATCGTGCTGCAGAAGTGGTGGTGCCAGATGGAGCCATGTCTCGATGGGGAGGAGTGCAAAGTGCTGCCTGACCTCTCGGGATGGAGCTGCAGCAGTGGCAACAAAGTGAAGACGACCAAGGTGCGTCCCCAGCAGGTGATGGGGGGGAACCCAGCTGTGCCTTCCCCAGCCAGGGGCAAGCAAAAACCAGGAGACCTCCCCAGTTATGTGGGGAAGGAGAGAGCTCCAGCTCCTTCAGGGCACACACTGTTTAAGAAGGACTCACTGAGGCAGAGCAGAGGGGCTGGGCTGTGGACTTGTCACTAGTGCTGGAGGGGCTGGCAGGTGTACCACAAACCTGAGTGAATCCCACAGCTTTTCCAGTTGATAATTCTTGCTGGGAGGCTTGCTGTTGGATGGCTCGGCCCTTGAGCAGACATCCTAGGTGTGTGTCTGGAACATCCCAGGGCTCCCAGGGTGTCCAGGTTACTCCCCAGTGCCACCCTCTGCTCCAGGGCAGCAGGCTGCCCTTCCTTACCCAGTGGCACAGCCCTGAATCTGTCCCCGTTCCCTGTCTGAGGCAATCATTTGTGACAGAGCACTACACGATTATTATTTTCATGGCTTGCTGAATGCCCCAAGGAACAAGGTGTAATTAAAATTTTATCAAACTCATTAGTAATTACATATATGCCATGGTTAATCAGTTGCATAATTTTGTAATCATTGTTCACACTGTTGACTGTAATTATTCCTTATGCTTTCGTTTTCCTTGCCCCACATCCCCCACCACAAAATTATTGTATTAAGCAATGTCAGGGTTTTTTTCATTGCTGCTATCATTTTTGTGCACAGAAAGCACTTTCATGCTGAGGTGCTTTTATGGACATCCAAAAAGGTTCCTCCAGCCCTGAGCATCTATCACTGACCAGTAACTGCAGCACTACATTGAGCTGGTTGTCTTTTTCCCCCTTTAGTGTTTTTTGGTTTGTTTCCCCCAGCTACTAACTTAGCCCAAAACCTCTGCTCTGCCTTTGGTGTCTTGAATTCTCACTGGGACCATTCCCATCTGGAATGGGAGCAGGACTCAGGAGCTTCTGCTCTCCTGCCTCATCCAGCAGACCTCTCCGTGGCCAACCTCCTTTTGGGTGCTATGCCCTTCCTTAGGGAGGTGACAGTTTTGAAACACAGACCTGTGTTTTCATAAGGACTTCTGGTAACTTTGGGTGACTTGAGTGCCTTTGGAATGGTGCCAAAGGGCTGGATCTGCATCTCAGTCCCCTGGGCAGCCAGACCTCAGTGGGACGTGCACCCAGAGCACAGAAATCACAGACCATTCATAAGGTGACTCCATTAAATGAAAGTAAAGAGCTGATCTTTCTTGTACCTCTTGAGGCTGTTTGCTGATAATCCATGGATGGGGAATCAGCTGGATGCATTGGTTAACTTCTGCTCTCCTCTGCAGGTCACTCGATAGCCTCCATGCCGCGTGGCACTGGCTGACCAGCCTTGGTGTGGGTCCTGGCGCTGCCATGAGCAGCAGGATGTGTCCCAGTGCCTGCAGAGGTGGGATGCTCCAGGGCCACCATCCTGCACCCGTCAGCAGGACTGTGACAGCTGCTGGATCAGAGCATGTGCTGAGCCCCAGCTTCCCTGGAGGCTGCAGGCAGGGACCCCATTGCAACTGCCAGAATCCCGTCACTCCACGGTTTCCTCCTTTTCTCTGGACACATCCTCCTAAATAAAATACTCCCAGTGTGTAAGAGCTGTTGACAATCCTGAGACAGGCAGCAGGCCCCCAAAATGGGCTTTAATCTGAATAGCTGAAATCAGTGCTGTGAGTCGCCTTTCCCTATCTCCTGAGATGCTGAATCCAAGCTGCAGTCAGGAATCGAGAAGCCTATGGTTATGTGAAACCCTTCCCCGTGTGGCTCCTGGCCCTGGGGTTCCTAGGAGCAGCCTCTGAGCTCCAGCCTGATCCTGAGTCACTGGGGGCTGCTGTGCCCTCGGAGCACTGGGCTTTCCTTGCCCCACCGCCTTCCTGCTACGATCACATGCAGCAGATGGGGCAGCATAGTCAGAGGGTGTCTGACAGCCTGTTGGCCCCCAGGGATGGTGAGATGTCTCCATGGCGCATGCTGCTGGTTTCTCCTTCCTTGGTAATTGCGTTAATCAGGTTGAAAATTTAATGTTTTCCACCATGCAAGTCCCAGGCACTGAGTTTCTGCTTGTGTTTGCAATTGAATTCCAGAGTTGTGCGAGGGGATCTCTCTGTCTGTGGCTGTGGGATGTCTAGGGCATGCAGATGCCCAGATAGGGTCTCAGACTGAGCCAGATTTTGTTGCAGTAATCCAAAATAAAGAAAAATTTACCACCTCCTGGCCCTGAGCTCATGACCTTCTCCAGGACACAGCATTTCCTGTGGTATAGCGACTGAAGGTGGGGGAGAATGTGAGCTCTGTGCCCCCAGTGTCAGACACGCTTGGGGCCCTGGGGCTGTGGGACCAGCACCTCCAGCCCTGCTCTGGGTCCCTGCAGGGGATGTGCTGGTGCAGGAGGGGCTGGAGATGGCGAGGGGGCCATGACAATGAGGGGGTCGCTGGGTTTGTTGCCACCTGCCTCTTGCCCTGACTCCCAGCACAGGACTCATTATTGAGATGTTTTTGTAGTGGGGTATGTAGTACCCTCTCCAGATGTGATGTAAATACCAGCCTGTGAAATAATAAATTCATTTTAATCTCTTTTCACTCAGCAGCAAAGGGAGGCTCTGGGAATGCTTCTCATGCTGCTGAATCCGAGGTGAAGGGGCTGGGGACTCTGCCCTGGCCATTCCAATCCCAAACAGCTTGTGCAATGGTGGCTCTGGAGGAGAGCTGAAAGCCTTTTGTGGCCAGCAAAGGCTGATAAGCTCATAGTGGTCCTAAAGAAAGGTGCTTTAATTTCTACAGGGTGCTCTCCTGAGAGCTTCTCTTGTCCTGTCCCTCCACCTCTGTGTGGCAGCTCCCACTTGCTGCAGTGCCATGTCCCCACAGATGCTACCCCTACCCAAGGCCAGACTGTGATTGTAAGGTCCCCACCTCGAGTCCTGTCCCCCCTGAGAACCCATGCTGTGAATGCAGAGCAGGAATCTGTTATTTCCAGTAGCAAACATCAGGCTGTAGATGGGAGCATCCCTGCTTGACTGGGCATTTTCATAGTTCGCTCATAATGTGAGGGATCCACTCTGCAGAAGTACTGGACTTGACACCTACATTGATATAAAAATATTTTATTGCCTTCATAATAGGCACCCTTGCAGCTTATTTTTCACTTACTGCAGTCCACAGTTTAGTGAGGAAATAGCCCCTTGGTGTCTCTGCTGAGTGCTGACCTCGCTGCTATCACACCATCCGAGTACACAAATACTGCAAATTGCTGCTCCTCTCCTGGCAGGTAAATGTGTTTCCAAGGAAAATGTTGTGGCCTGCAGGACTGCTGGTGTTATCTCTGGTTCCTGAACAGCCAGGAAGGATGCTCCTGCCACAGCTCCTGGAGCAATAAACCAAGGAGGATGGTGATGGTGATGGGAACATCTCTGGGCTGAGGCAAGGACTTTGATCCCCTGTCTCCTTGCTGCCTCAGTGGGACAATGCTGCCTGCATTGCTGGTCCCCAGCAACCTTGGACATCCTGATCCCTTCTCCCTGCATGTGACCACACTGCTGGTCCCTGAAGGACAAATCAGCCCCTGCAGCTGCATCAGCAACTTGGAGACCCCAGACTCTCACGCCAGGCTCCCAGATCCATCCTGCCCAAGTCCCCATCTTGGTGGGTAAGTCTTGTGCAAAGTTCTGTCTTGGCACATCTGTGCAGTAACTGACTGGGAGCTTGCACAGACAAGATCTGAAGTTGTCTGAGGGGTGATTAGTCAGAGGAAACTCACAGTTAAAGTATTTTCAATATCCTCGGTATTATAATTACACCCCATTCAATTAGTCTTCAGGAAAAAATAAAGTCTTTTGTATTAAGATTTGGTGGAGTATTATTAGAGAGTGAATTAAAAGACAAGGATTCCATTTTACCTACAAATACTAAAAGCATAATGCATAAAATACCCTCAAATTGCAAGCTGACTAAATTTAGAGCTGTGCTAGGAGGTGAAATGAAAGGTAAAAAGAAACCCTTTGAGCAGTACAAGGTGCTGTATTATCAGAGAAATAAGATGGAAACATAATTAACCACCCAGCATTATGCTGAAAGACGGCAAATTGAAATGGGAGACAAAATTAGGTGAAATTGCAGAGCAGGCTCATTTATTTCTGCTTTATAAATCAGTGCTACCTGTCAGCAGTGAAGCCAAGCCATTCCAGAACAGGAGCTTTCCAAGGGATGCTGTTCACAGGGACCTCACCTTGTCCAGGATGGGGCTGCTGTGCTCTCCTGGATGGTGAACTCTGTGCCACTGTAGGAACAGGTGATGCCTCCAAGGGTCACATCTTTGGTGCCCTTTCCTTCACTGGCCGTGGTGCATCCAGGACACATCTGGTGCGCCCTCTTCCCCAAAAACTGGTTCCCTTTCCCTGCTGCATTGCTGCTCTAACTAGTGCCACCCTTGTGACTTTGGCAAGTATTACATCTCACAGGGAACCTACCCCCAGTGGCCTCTTGCACTGATCAGTTGAAGTCCAGTTTAGGGCTGGAGGAACGTTTTCTTTAACTGTGCTAAATTTCCTCCTCTCAGGCTTAATTATTATTATCAGGCTTATTCCCTATAACCTCTGCCCCCTCCACCCTCCTGTCGTTGCTGTGCTTGCTCCTCTCTGCCTGTTTGCTTTATTGCTGCTTTTCAATGAATTCAAACAAGAAAAGAATTGTATTTTCCAGAATTTTACAGAAAGATTTTTGTTAGAATCACCTCAGCTATGCAAAACCATCCCTGTGATCTCCCTGTGCTGTGCTCAGGAGCGGAGAAACCCAGAATTTGCTTATTGAGAAGCAGAATCTGTCTCATCTAGCTTACAGGATTCACAGAGATGGCAGGTGCATGTGGCTGTTCTGGCACTCTTGTGTTTGGACATGAGCACGTGGGTCAGACTTTTTCTACTTTGCCAATACCTTTCACAAAGAAACCTCTCTGGCTTGTTTGTAAGTAGATCCTGTTTTGGGGATGTGTAGCAAATGGCTTCAGCATCCAGACATGCTGCCCCATCCCTCCAGCACTCAGGACAAAAGCCAACAGCAGCCACAGCCCCACCCCAGGATGTGGGGACATGTGGCCCTAGGGCCATGGGGCCATGGGCACCTTCCCCATTGCCTTGCATGCCATGGGACTCTATTAGAATCACCAAGATAAAAATACAGCAGCACAGTCTTTTCTCTAGTTAATACACTGTGATGGGGCTGTTTGAAGCATTAGATGGCTCTCCCAAAAATGCATCCTCATGTTTTATTCAAATGTGCATTTGTGGAGATGTTCTTAAGGGAATGAATCAAATATTCATTCAGATGCTACTGCGCAATAAAGGCAGTCAGGGCAGAAACTGCGCTGCTGGCTCGGGGCAGAGCTGGCCCTGCTGCAGGCAGCTTGACTCCTGCTGGGCCCCAGGAGGATCCCTGGGAATCATGGAATCATAGAATATCCTGAGCTAGAAAGGATCCACGAGGATCACTGAGTCCAGTTCCTGGCCTGCGCAGGACATCCCCGAGAACCCCACCATTTGCCTGGTGTGGATGAGGGATGCTGGTCCTTGCTGCCACCTGCCTGGGAGGCCCCAGCGCTCTCCAGGGGCTCTGGCACAGCCCTCAATGCAGAACTTGTGGATCCATCTGGCCCTGGAGCAGACACTGCTGAACAGGATGGTGAGACACTGGCACAGGTTGCCCAGAGAAGCTGTGATTCCCCTATCCCTGCAATTGATCTAGGCCACGTTGGACAAGCCTTGAAGCAATCTGGTCTGGTAGAAGGTGTCCCTGCCCGTGGCACAAGGTGATCTTTAAGATTCCTTCCAATTCAAACCATTCTGGATTCTACAATTCTGCTGCTGTGTATTTTCTTCTGTCCAGGGTCAATCCATCTGTGCCACACCGAGACAGGTGAGCTGCAGAGGTGGCACTGATCCAGAGGGCAGTGCCCATGTCCCATCTTGCTGCAGTCAAAACCCCAAGCCTGACTCCCATCCCAAACTGGCAGAAAAGGTTAGGTGACCCAAGGGCCGTATGTCTCTCCTGCCCACCTCCACATCTGGATCCCTGCAGGCTTGCAAAGCCAGATCATAGAGTCATACAATCATGCTCTCCCCTCCCCAGGAGAAAGGCTTTTGGACATGAGGGGCTGCACGGACATGGGTTCATCCTGGGCAGACTCTGCTTACTACCTGGATCAGGGATTAAATAGAGGCTTATTTTTATAAAGGGATTTCTAGCCTCGTTTTCCTGCTGGGGCAGCTGCAGTGGCCACAGCAGAAAAAGTGCCATTGGCTGGGGCAGAGCAGAAAGGGAGGATGCAATTTAATTTGTGCATTTCCCAGCTTGTTA